ATTCCGTGAAACCCATCCAGACCTTCATGGATGTAATATTTTTTCTCTCACACCCTTTTATTCTTTATTGGTTGGCCTATTGTTCTCAATTCCGTAAAATCCAAACTTTCATATATATAATGTTTTTTCTCACACCCTATTATTTTTTATTGTTTGGTCTGTTTTTCTCTATTCCGTAAAACCCATCCAGATCTTCATTGATATACTGTTTTTCTTTTTCACCCTTTTATACCTGATTGTTTAGCCTTTTCTCTATTCCGTAAAACCCATTTAGACCTTCATGGAAATAATGTCTATTATTATACCTTACATATATTTCAAACAATTCTATTGAGTAAAACGTTATCACGTGACATGGAATAATTCAGTTAATTTTCATTCAATCGCAAGGAAGAACGAATAACCCTAAAAATTTACACCAGCGTTGAATAACCCTATTATTCACCGGCGAATAACCTTTTTAGTTTGTTGATTTGTACTCATGAAAATGACGTCACAGACGTAAATAAACAAAATGGCAACGTTCAAGTTACAGGAAGCCGATTGATCGAGAGAAGAGGAAATAAGGCGTTTGACGTGCATCTTGTGCCGATGATATCTCTAATAACGGTCCTTTTCAGGGCCATCAATATTTTACAAAAAGAATCTAGCTTTGTTGTACATACGAGAATTCTAAGACACAAATTACATGTATTTTTTAACGTCAACTTGTGTTTGTTACTGACTTAAGTAAGGGTAAGTGCTTTTACAAGGATTCAAAATGCCCTTCCACTGTTAGTTCGGTATAATAAAACAATTGTGGCCCTTAGAAGCGATGAATATCCAAAATTGTCAACCCTTAAAAGTTATTTCACTTCGGGCTGCGCCCCATATGGCAAAATCAAAGGTACTTTATTCAAATGATTTGCACCACGTGACTTTGTCCCTTTTGATCAAATTACCTCCCGTAGCTGAAGATTGAAAATATAATTTATTTTAGATTTGCGGATAATCACGTCCTTTTCCGTCACGTATCTAAAACTAATGTATCTTTAAAAACTTCCTTTGGCGGATATTTCAGAGTAGACAATGTCCATTTGTACACGGACAGAAGCCTAAAAACATGTACAATTCACCTATATGCGAACAAATTGTTCATTCGAGATAGGTATTGGCATATTGGCATTTTTATTTAAGGGGCTTATATAATCCTATCGCAATGGCTGCCGTCATGATAAGGCAAAATGGCCGCTATGCAAATTAGTAAATTACCCCAAATTTTGCCATATGCTCAGTGAAATAACCTTCTCGTGTTGACAATTTTGGATATTCACCTTTTCAACGGGCCATAATTGTATATTATTCTTTATTGTTTGGCCTTTTTTCTCTATTCCGTAAAAACATCCAGACCTTCATGTATATATTTTTTTTTCTCTCAATTCACTGATGTCTTTGGCTAAAACCTAAATAATACACTTACGTGAAAGGTATATTTAGTTAAATCATATATGCACATTCTTGCCACCTTTAAGAAACATTGGAACATGTGCCATAACTAAGCATAATACCAGCTTCAGTGTGAACAAAACATATTACTGTTGTATAAAGAATCTTGTTAATTGTATGTTTTTTTTTAATTGTTATAGACAGGTCACCGAACAATGCTTTAGCGACAAGGGCATCGATGTCCGAGTGGTATTAGTTCATCGAGGTTGTGAGTTCAAACCCCGCTCGTGTGTGTCAGGTGCGTTCGACGCTGATCTTAATTGACCAGGATTGTCAGTTTCCCTGCCGAAAGTCGGTGAAAAGTGGTGAAAGTGGCAATCAACCAATCTTTAGCGGCAGGGCTGTGAATCGAGATGTTATATAAGTAAACAATAACCTTAAGTTTGAAACCTTAATCAATTTACGTAATTCACAAATAAATCTGCGATCACTTATATTTACAAGTTTTCAGTTGTTATTTATTGTAGGCGTCATGGTTTCTCACATGTTGGGCACATTTACATCTTAGAAATCGTACCATAAATATGAATAAAGAGAAATGGAATATATATCGTTCATGTGGTGGTATCCCAAAGACACCATTACCAAATTAAAGCTGTCATATAGCTTTTTGTTCTTATAAAGTTTATTTAAAATTATTTTTACTTATTTCATTTAGTGGCATTTTCAATCTTTTTTAACACTCTTATTACCGAGATGCATTTTATTAAATTTGATTTATAAAAAAAGAAATTGCTAAAGATACCAAAACGAATATTCAAACTCATAAGCCAAAGACAAAAGGACATAGCCATGGCAAGATAGAAAAACGACGACATAGAACAACATAGAAAACCGAAGACTCAAGCTAAACGATGGTCTTGAAGTATAGATTCTAAGTACTGACGTCGTTTATCATCTTAATTACGTGTTATAGTGTTCTTTTATTTGTCTTTGTAAATTATTACTTTTACTGTTTAGTCTCTGTTTGGTAATATCCCTTTGACGTGGCTCGGTACTTATACATCCCGTTATTGTGTTATTGTGCTATGGTAAATTTTTGTATTCTTGTCTTTCGTTTTTGCTTATGTGCTTTGTCTATATGCCCTTTTGTTTTTCTTTATTGACATATTTGTTTCTTTAAATAGTGATTAAGATTATAACACAATGTTGACTGCTGTACCCCTATTTTTGACATTTTAACCTATTGTGTCTGTTTGTTTTGTTCACACATTGTTGTCAATAAAATGGAATTGTATGCGATTGTCACACAAGCGAGAGGTTTGGCTAGCTATAAACCAGGTTTTATCCACCATTTTCTACATAAGACAATGCCTGTACCAAGTCAGGAATATGACTTGATGTGTTTGAGCTTTTGATTTTGCCATTTGATTAGGGACTTTCCGTTTTGAATTTTCCTCGGAGTTCGGTATTTTTGTTATTTTACTTTCTACACAAACCCTAAAAAAACCGGACGTAATCTTACCCAGGTGCTTCAGAAGGGTAAGCATTCGTGGTTGTGGTAAATATAATAGATATAAGAAGATGGGATATAAGTGCCAATGAGACAACTCTCCATCCAAATCAAAATTGATAAAAGTAAACCATTATAGTTCAAAGTACGGCCTTCAACACGGAGCCTTGGCTCACACCGAACAGCAAGCTATAAAGGGCCTCAAAAATTACTAATGTAAAACAATTCAAACAGTAAACAAACGGTCTAATCTATATAAAAAAACGAGAAACGAAAAATACTTATGAACCACACCAACAAACGACAACTACTGAACATCAGATTCCTGACTTAGGACAGGTGCAAAAAATTGCAGCGGTTGTAAACGTTTTAATGGTACCAAACCTTCACCCTTATCTGAAACAATAGTGTAACATCACAACATAGAAAGACACACTATAAAATATCAATTGAAATGGCTTAACTTAATCAAAAGACATATTAACACCAGTGAACATACACTGAACAAATAAATTTGATATATGATACCATGTAAATACAAGTTTTTATTACAGTGATTCATTGATTGTTGGTTGCTTAACGTCCAGTGGCAAATATTTCATGCATATTCAGGACGAGAACAAATTAACAATAAATACAATAGGTAGGTTCTGTAATAGGGGAGTCCGGTGTTAAGGTCGGCGAAATTTAGGCTACCACGGGAAATGAGGGAATATTGGATAAGGGCAGAAATTTAGCCTTGCAACAGGTCACCTACGGACCCCTCCAAGAGTTGTTGCAAGGGTTCTCAACGTGCAAAGAGCGTGGCACTCTCTTTACACGAGACATCGGATTTAACGTCCCCATTCTGACCGGACGTGGCTGCAAATTTGTACATCCCGCACAGCCAAACGGACGCCCCACTTTAGCAAGGGTTTTACTGCCGGTCGGAGGAAGACCAATGGTGACCATACTTCTATTCCCAAGTCACCCTTGGGGGGTTTATTACAGTGACTGTACTGCATCTTCTGTAAGTTTGGCAGAAACTTTGCTCGCAAAAGATACATCTGCATGATATATCATTATTCTCCACGGTTTAATTACCTCGAAAGGAAAATCCATTCATCCTTCAACAATTTTATTAATTTTTTTTCATATGAATACGACCAGCGTAAAAAAATAACATGGTTTATTACAATCGAATATTGATATATTATAATCTAAATATTTAGATAACTTACTTGCACATGTAATATAATTATGCCCTTACAATATATTCCAAATGTCGACTGACCTTTGGCCAAACTTAAAATTTTTTACCCAAATGTTACAACATTTCGCCCAAAACGTGCTTCTGTTTAATTTATTCACAGCCAATGATCGGTCTATTGATGAAGACTGTATGTAAAGCTCTAGAAGTCTTTTTTTTGTGTGTGTTGTCGGGTTATGGTCTAGTTCAAATTATTTCAGGAGGACATTTAATTTTATAACAGATTTGTTTATTTTGTACATCATTTCGGTTTACTACAGGTCACATTACGAATTTGAAGTTTTGTTTATCAGTTAATGCAGAATATAATACATCTCGATGAAAACAAACTAATCTGAAAACATATTGGGAGAACATGAACATATACGATATTTATAAAGTCAAGTTGAATTAGTCTTTCCTCAGTTTGAATTCACTCAGACATTTAAAGTCTAGTCTGTTCTTTCGATTCCACCGGCGACTTCTTATTTATGGTCCTGAAATATTCAAATGAGTTTATAAATTGCCTCATTAGAATGGTTATTCCTTTTTTTAAAATAAAAAAGATACCAAAGGTGCAATTAAATAATTAATTAATCAATGTAAGTAAACAAGTTTTACATGACAAAACTGATATCGAAGGCAACATGATTGCTTTTAATAGGCTAAGCTTACTTATCCACGATTTGTTTGTTTTGTGTGAATAACTTAATAAACACTTCCTGTGAAATTTTCCTTGACCACAACAAGGTTCTGTGTAAATTTGTTGTTAAACTGGCAATTGTTTTTGAAATGCGAAACATAACTTAACAAAATTGCCAATAAATATATTTTTCATAGTAACCTTGAGAAGTTTTTTCCATCTTCGATTGTCTCTGGAAGTTGTCTATTCAAAGTTTCCGGTAGTATAAGTGTTAAAAGTGCAGCCAGTATACATGCCCCTCCGAAAATTACTAACGGAACAGCCTTGCCTGTCGTGCCACCAATTAAATCTGCCTACAATATCACACAAAAACAATTAAAAATTGGTTCAAAATAATTAAAATTATATTTCATGCAAATTCTGTGACAACTTCACAATAAACGGGAAGCTTAATATAACTCGTATTGTTATGGTAGTTAAATAATTTAATTACAAGAATTAAATCTTTCTTTTTACTTTTTTTTATAGGATTGTAAAAGCGTTGATCGTGCTCAGAATTTTTGTATACTAATTGCTTCCGCGCTTCGTAAAATGTGCTTCAGTCAAGGCTTTTGAACCCAAATAAAATTACCAAAATAAGCAATCAATTCTGAATTACAATATCAACGATTTTCAATTAGTGTTCCACGATGAATGCTCAAATTGACATATGTAAAGGAAATGTATTTATCATCCTACAATTTGCCAGAAATTATGAAGTTTTACCTCAAGAGCTCACCACCACTTCAGAATGACCAAATTATGAAGTAAAAAATTATAAATTCGATTTCTTTCTTCAGTACTGTTTCAAAATAGATATAAGAAGATGTGGTATGAGTGCCAATGAGACAACTCTCCATCCAAGTCAAAATTTGTAAAAGTAAACCATTATAGGTAAAAGTACGGTCTTCAACACGAAACCTTGGCTCACACCGAACAGCAAGCTATAAAGGGCCCCACAAATGACTAGTGTAAAACCATTCAAACGGGAAAACCAACGGTCTAATCTATATAAAAAACGAGAAACGAGAAACACTTATGAACCACATCAACAAACGACAACTACTGAACATCAGAAAAGCATATTCCTAAGTTACAAGCGGCATGAAATAGCTGATAATTTTTGGGAAAATATAGTATATATTATTACGTAAATGCCATACTAATAACAGTCATATCATGCGATCAATTACACGTATTTCATCCGAATGACCTCCAGTAATTGCTAAATACTTTTACACAAGAATTGTGCCTATAATAAATATGTTGAAGAGTACTTAGAGTAAAAAGGGAAACTTACAGTATCTGCAATGTATGGGGAAATCATTCCACCAACACGTGCCCAAACGGAACTTGACCCCATGCCAGCATTGCGAATGACTGTAGGGAAAACTTCTGCTGAGATAATGTAAACAGTAGCAAATCCGGCAGTCGAAAATAATTTTCCAAGCAAGGCCAATGTCGTAGTTAATGGCTGAAAGTCTGTAAAGAAACAAAACGCAACGCCTTAACACTAAATCCGCTGGATATGTACTGATTCATTATGATAATTAAGTCTGGTAAAAACATGTTTTTTTGTCGAAATTGGATATGAACAAACTTTCAAGGATCTGCTTACCGTTCCGGAGCTCCCGAGATAACCCCCTATATTTTGTTTCTTAAACATTTTTTTTTGTGTTTTGGTCGTTTTTCCTTTTTTTTCATTGCGTTGTCAGTTTTTTTTCGACTTATGTGTTTGAATGTCCCTTTGATACATTTTCCCTCTCTTTTCAATAAATGCGAGTACGCTAATATCCGTACTTTGTATTTTTTCCTCATTTCATTGTTTTTTGTTGTGCTTCCTGTTGATTTAATTAGTCATTTTTATAGTTTGTATGTTGTGTGTCCTTGATGATGAAGAGGGATGAGCGCTCACAAGAATGTTTACCCTGCCACGAGTACCTAGCCAGGAGCCTGTAATTTAGTGGTTATCATTGGTTGCAGTCTGTCCGTATTTGTTTCCCATTTATTGTTTTCCTATTTGAATTGTTTCACATGTTGTCATGTCGGGGCCTTTTATATCCAACTATACAGTATGAGTCATTGTTGAAGGTTGTATGGTGACCTATAGTTGTTTACATCCTTGACCTTTTGTCACTGGTGGATAGTTGTCTCATTGAAGATTCTGCAACATCGCCTTATTTCTACATGACTAAATTTAATAAAGGTACTTAAACTAAACTTAAGGATGTTCGCTACTCTGTTTCAAAATAACAAGCTTTTAGAAGACTATTATAGATTGATAGTATATTACTAAAGGAACTGAAAAAGCAGAAAAAAATGAAGGGTCCGTGTGCTTGTTTTCGAGATATAACCCATTGAAAATTTGGCGCGAACTGTTTCTCTCTAGATTTTTTCATATATTTAACATTGGCATCTTTTTTCTTTTAAAAACTATGAAAAAATAACAAGGATTATATAAGAGTTTCAAAAGTGGCTTTTTAAACAGTATGTAATAGAATTATGAAAAAAAACTAAGGGTTAGCGGGCAAAATTGTTATTGGCACTAACATGGATAAAACTAGAGGATTCCGAATATCTGAAAAAAGGTCAGAAACAAGAGTAGTGAACATCCTTAATGAAATAAATTGACAAAAAAATCTTGAGGAAAAAATTAAAATGAGCTGCGTCTGATAGAAATCGACCTTATGCTAATGAATATCAATACATCTGCTAACTTATTTCGGGTTTAAAAAATCACTATGTAAAGTCTGTAACTATTTGAATATCGAGTTGATATAAGAACACTACAAAACAGACCAAAATTAATCTTTTATTTCATATATGTGTTTGTGTCTTAGCACGTACTTACAACTTCTCGTCCAATCAAATTGCTTATATTTGCCTTTTTAATTTTCATAGTACATACTTTTCCTGTGTACTAAGTAACTACGCATGAATGACCACAAGGGTAAGATTTCATTGTATCGTAATCAAGATATTCAAAACAAAAATTGCCACTGGCTATTTTGAAATAAAATGCTGTGTTCCAAATTAAGTTAAATAGTTTGTAATTAGTTTTCACATTGATTTTTAAATATCCTGCTATTAAAATCTTTGGATCTAAAAAATATTTTTGACAATTGCAAATTTTATCATTTAAATAAAGGGTAATACATATGGTTCTTTATACCTTGATTAGAGTACAACGATATCTTAAAATTATGATAATGTATCATCCATGCAATTACTTTGTACACAGAAAAGTGTGTTCTATGAAACCTTGTGAAGGAAAATTAAAGCAACTTGGTGATAATTTTTTAAACTTTCTTAAGGAAAGTGATCTATTTCGTCATGAATTGATTGATTTATTGATTATTGGTTGCTTAATGTCCAGTGGCAAATATTTCATGCATGTTCAGGACGATGTCATGAATTGAAAAACTGTGATTATGTCTGAAGATAATGTGCCACCTATATATATATATTATAAAGATATTCTGATAAATCTTTTAGTTTTTACTTTGAACTAATAAAAAAAAAACACAAAACCTATAATCTCTGATCTATTTGTAGTTGCTTTTTAATGCCTATCTGATAGACTATATCTTTGGGGACAAATTATCTATATGTTTCAAATTTATTATAGCTTTAGTTTTACTGTGAAATTAAAAAAACGTTTCAAAACATGTAAAGCTTCCACTGCAATTTAATTATTGCCTGCTTTTGGTCAATTTATTTTGTCATCTTACCTTGTAAGAAGAACATGTATAGTAAAACACCGCTTTATATCAGTATGCATACTTACACCAGCAGCTACCATCTTTTCATTCTGGAGTGAAGGGCCTTTTGAAATCACATATTTTACAATGATACTAGTGAGTAGATTTACAAAATTCGTTAATGAGCTCCGTTTTACAAACACCTGTGATACAAGTAGTCAGCCAAAATAAACTACCAATAGACCAATTAAAAGATTACTCGAGTTGTAAATATGTGCTAAATTGGATAGTCTATGGAAAGGTATATACTATGAAATTAAGACCTCGGGGCAAGCCCCTCGCTCTAAATTTCATAGTATATACCTTTCCATAGACTAACCTAGACATAGTGTTAAAGTGGTTTTGACATTGACCCAACAGTAATCATCTATTCATACATAAATAGCGAGCGGTAATCAACCAAGGTTAGTAGTCTTTAGATGTAGTAGATTATCATCACCAAACAAACACTCTGATCGATAGTCGAAACTAATATATAGCAAAAATACACTTCGGGCCATCATACCAATTTTACACCCCAGTTCTATTGTTATACTTCATAGTTTCTATTTCTGAAACAAGTGTAAATTGAATAGATCTATTGTTACGAATAACAATGGATTTTGACCACAGGGTGTGACGAGCGGGGTTTCTGGAAACCCCTGCTTCTACATCCCGCAAACAAAGTCCATTGTTATTCGTAACAATAGAAATTGATTATTTTTTAAATAGCATGAACATAACTAATAGTGTTTACAAATTGTTTCATGATATTAAAATAACACACTTTAGGAAATTCCAATAAGCGTCTACTAGTATATGCAATTCAAAAATAATCCTTCAAATACTCTTAATTTTGCTTGAAGGTATTTTTTTTTATCCCAGCCATATGTCTCTATTCTAAAGCATTGATCTTTAAAAAATGGGGATTCTAACTCTCGTACCCCCCCCCCATTTGAATGGTTGGACCCCCCTTTTTCTCTTGAGTTGGGAACCCCCGGCTTGATCAGCCCCTGATTGCCACCCCCCCTTCCAAAGGGAGTTCCTCAATATTAAATATTGTATGTTGAGCGTGTCTGGTAGTCGGGTTTCTAATGCAGACACACATATCCCTTAGTATGTTCGAATATGAATGTTTGTTTATTCTCGAGAAGAGGGGGGTGGGGGTTGTTTTTGATAAAATCGTAAGATATAAAATACAGTTATGATTACCTTTATTAAACTGATACAGTTAAGTACTTTGGGTTATAGTATTGCCTTTATCTTTAGTCTCTTCTACCAAATCCAACGCTTGCCACAAAATGTCGTCCGTCTTATACCCGTCCATATTGACAACTGTATACCAGGAGCATGATGTATTTTTTGTTTGTAATAAGAATACACGTAACACTCAACCTTGACCTGTTGATCCATATTAGCACATGGATTTAACGGGAATATGCAAAACAACTCTACATTTGTAAAATATACTCACTTGTCAAAGTTTGAACGAAGATAACCAAAGAAAGGTTACTAGTGGGGTTTCATGTAATAAAAAAATATTCTTATAAATCATGGTTTGATATTGTCAATAAATATGCTATCGTTTTTTTGTTGTTTTTTTTTGGCATTTAATAATCAATGTTAACAAATATAGGGTTTAGAATGGGGTGTAAGTTAGTTATACACCTCGGGATACGGCGTGTCTGGATAAGAAACCCCTCCGGCCTCCGGCCGACGGGGTTCCTTATCCAGACACACCTATCCCTCGGTGTATAACTATTACTTATACCTTTTCCTGCATAATTTGCTGTAAATATAGTACTGAGGCAAGCCAATCCACCAACACCCATGTAAATGAAATGACTCTTTTTACGACCAATTCTGCCTAGCATCACAAGTGGTAGTAATTGTCCTGGAAATTCTACAAGTACACTCAGCATAAAATTGATATAATAATCTCCGTACAAGATTCCAGTGTTTAGTGACAATCCGTAGAAAACCATAGAAACTACCATCCTGTATTAGAAATATAGAACTTATTTTCGAATAGAATGTGTTGTCGTGAGCGTTAATACATATAACATTTATGAATAAAATGAAATTTGAGGTATATGTCAATGAGGCAGCAAACCAACGACAAAAAGCACAAATACATCATCAAGGCAACAGACAATTTTCAACAACAGACAGGTGTCCCTTCAATATGTCATGCTCTGAATCGTCCATATGGCAAGCCGTTTTACTATTTACTCGAACTTCAAGATATCTCATATAATTTATAAGATATCTTATAAAGAAAATTATATGAGATATCTTATAAACTATATAAGATATCGTATAAATTATATATGAGATATCTTATAAAGTTTATTAATTATATATCTTGAAGTTAGAATAAATAGTTAAACGACTTGCCATACGTCCAGACTCTTTAAAAATTGTGAATTAATTCAGCGGAAACAATCAAAGATCTGTCATAATCAGCTAATTCTTTAAATAACAAAAAAGATATTAAGATATATTTTAATTTTGGATGTAACACGTCTTCTAATTGGCTGAAAGTGTTTTGTCTATCAGCTCATAGACATAATTTTGTCATGTGACTGTGACGTCACCAACTTTTTTTCAAAATTCACTCCTTACAAATGGAATTCAGAATTAAATTATAAGGAATGACTGTAATGTTTTTTTTTCTGTCTATTCGAAATAACCTAAAAAATGTGGTGCACACTTTTAAATAACCCGGTACGTATTTCTGATGTTATTTCTTCACAGACAGAAAAAATATTACAGTCATTCCTTAAATGACATACAACTACTGACGAGCATGACGAGGGTGAAGAAGTTTTATTTAAGATCTCAACCCTCCTCTTTTTAATTTCAATCAAGAAATTATCGATCAAAACGAACACAAAGGAACATCCTAAAACAAGTACCGGAAAAGCAATTAAGTCTAATGTAATGGTATACAAAATAATAAAAACACAAAATAATAAATAATAAAATATACCGTTTTAAAGCATGCTTGCAGTTACTAAAACAAGCTCAAAGTACTTAACCTTAGCCTGGTTATAAAATATCATGTCGACCTACAGTCACGTGATATTCTTTCTGAGGGAATTTTCATTTTCACCTTTTGCGAGTCTTACTCAATTATTTTGTTGCGTGGTTTTGCCGCTCGTAAATTTATTTACAGTTTTGAACACATTTATATTCTCCATTTTTTTGCAAAATATTCATTTTCATCATACATGTATTTTCAGTTCAGTCGATCGTGCTAAATTAAAACAACACTTTATAACTCCGTGCGTTCGAAGCGCGTTTCTGTATTAACCCTCACCGGGAACGTTCTACCCCTCTCAACCCCCGAAAGAAGAAAACCAGGTACACTGTATGATAAATACTTGAACATGCAAGGTGCCAAATATTATTAATCTGTTGTGGTTGTAACGCAACTGAACGACGCATATTTGCTTTCTTAGTTTATCATCTTAACTTAAGAATGAACTCTGGTGAGGTTTATGAATTTTTGTCAGATGTTCGGACTTCTTAGTTTTTTTCCCTACGATACAGGGTAAAATATATTGCCCCATATCACCAACTTTTCTTTCCATAGAAGACTTAATATCTCATAAAAAGGTTAATACCAAAATTTAAGCAGATTCAAGATTTTTTTTCTTACGATTTGAGACCCTATTAATGCCAATGCTAAATATAAGGTAAAAGTCCGAGTCAGCCTTTTCCCGCCATTTAAAAAAAATCAAATATCTCAAAAAGGAGTTTCATAACTACATGTATCAATATTTTTAGCTTATTTTGTTCCTTAACTGATGTTCTTCTGATTTTGTTTTTTTAATTTCTAGATTTTTTTAATTTCACCTAAGTACATCCTTAAGTGAATCTAGGGCTAGCCGGCGTTGTGGAAACTTGTATAAAAGAGGGAGACGATACCAAGGGGGCAAACGAATCCATTATTGGAATAAAAACAGACGACTCCATGAAAAAAAAAAAAAACAACGAAAAGACAAACAATAGTATTTCAAAAAAGAGACAGAAACTAAAGACTAAACATTACAAAACCCTCCAAATACCGCGGATGTTCTCAGGTGCGCCGGATAGCTAATAATATCCTGCTTCACTAGGTACGTCCGTCCAGTTGCGCATGGCAAATAACACAATGATAATTGTGCTGAGTCTATAAAGTGTATGCTTACCAGTTAAAGAATATCACTATTGTCCTGCAAGCTAGAGTCTTGTCTGAAAATAAAAGCCAGACTCTTCCTGATTCTTTAGTGTCAGGTGTCAATTCGTCTAGCATTTTGTCTGGAAATGTTGTTTTATTTACCGCTGCAGCATGTTGAAGTAAAACCTTTGCCTCTGCCATCCTCCCTTTACTGCACAGCCATCTTGGAGACTCGGGAATAAACCTGACCAAATTTTCAAGTATAATAGTATAACTTTAGTGAATGCATGTATTGTGATTTGATTTGTTGGCGTATTCCGACGTTTAAGAAAGGACTTTAATGTTTATGGGCTATGTATAACACTACTTCCAGACAAAAATCTTTTTTATGATTTGCACCTACGTCAGCATGTTCAGGTCGAAACAATTTTTTTTTATACAAAATTTATATTTGTAAACCGAACTAAATGTTTACCTATAATTGCAAAAAAAAAAAAAAAAAAAAAAAAAGGTTTTAAAAAAAGTGATGTTAATTCAAAAAGAGAAAAAGTAGCCAAAAAAAATCTCAATATCTTTCACAAAAAAAACCTTTTAAGCAATGAAAAACTCAATACAGTTTCTTCTAAAATCGTCTTGGTAAAACTCTTCTACCAACCGTGTATAGGCAATACGGTGACATAATGTTGTACACATCGATGGTCTTTGGTGAACATTTGTCTCATTGGCAATCATAACACTTCTCCTTTTTTTCACATATCTGTATTGAATAAAAGTGAGTCACCTTGTATTTAAAAAAAAACAAAACAAAACAAAAAAACAGGGTTACTATCCTTAGTTCATTTCTATAAAATTGGGGTATCATCTTATCTTCCTTAGAGTTTACTTTTGACAAATAAATCCGTATCCTTTGCAAAATGAACTTTTCAAAAATTATCTTTATTGCAAAAGGTATCTATATACCTGTGATCAAGTTTTATTCATAATTGAATTTAGATTGATTGATTGTTGGTTGCTTAGTCCAGTGGCAAATATTTTATGCATGTTCAGGATGAGACCAAAAATTAATGAGGGTTATATTAAATAGGCCATTAGGAACAGACATTTTTCTTTGTAACAGGCCACCTACGGACCCCTGAAAGGGTTCTTAAAGTGCAGAGAGCGTGACACTCTTTTTAAACGAGGCATCGGATTAAGTGTACATATCCTGATCGAACGTGGCTGCGTACTTGTACATCCCGCACAGCCAAACGGACGCCCCACATTGGAAGGGGTTTTACTGCCGGTCGGAAGAAGACCTGAAGAGACCATATTTCTATTCTCCTGTCACCCTTAGGGTATATTAATTTTAAACATTTTACAACTGGAACAATATATAACATGGCATTGAAAAGTAGGTGACACTCTTGTCTGATAAACATACCACTATAGAATCAAATAACTGACACTATGGTCTGATAAACATTCCACCATAGAATCAAATAACTGACACTATGGTCTGATAAACATACCACCATAGAATCAAATAACTGACACTCTGGTCTGATAAACCTACCACCATAGAATCAAATAACTGACACTCTGGTCTGATAAACATACCACTATAGAATCAAATAACTGACACTATGGTCTGATAAACATTCCACCATAGAATCAAATAACTGACACTATGGTCTGATAAACATACCACCATAGAATCAAATAACTGACACTATGGTCTGATAAACCTACCACCATAGAATAAAATAACTGACACTATGGTCTGATAAACCTACCACCATAGAATCAAATAACTGACACTATAGTCTGATAAATCTACCACCATAGAATCAAATAACTGACACTATGGTCTGATAAACCTACCACCATAGAATCAAATAACTGACACTATGGTCTGATAAACATACCACCATAGAATCAAATAACTGACACTCTGGTCTGATAAACATACCACCATAGAATCAAATAACTGACACTCTGGTCTGATAAACCTACCACCATAGAATCAAATAACTGACACTATGGTCTGATAAACCTACCACCATAGAATCAAATAACTGACACTATGGTCTGATAAACCTACCACCATAGAATCAAATAACTGACACTATGGTCTGATAAACCTACCACCATAGAATCAAATAACTGACACTATGGTCTGATAAACCTACCACCATAGACTCAAATAACTGACACTATGGTCTGATAAACATACCACCATAGAATCAAATAACTGACACTATGGTCTGATAAACCTACCACCATAGAATCAAATAACTGACACTTTAGTCTGATAAACCTACCACCATAGAATCAAATAACTGACACTATAGTCTGATAAACCTACCACCATAGAATCAAATAACTGACACTATAGTCTGATAAACCTACCACCATAGAATCAAATAACTGACACTATGGTCTGATAAACCTACCACCATAGACTCAAATAACTGACACTATGGTCTGATAAACCTACCACCATAGAATCAAATAACTGACACTATGGTCTGATAAACATACCACCATAGAATCAAATAACTGACACTATAGTCTGATAAACCTACCACCATAGAATCAAATAACTGACACTATAGTCTGATAAACCTACCACCATAGAATCAAATAACTGACACTATAGTCTGATAAACCTACCACCATAGAATCAAATAACTGACACTATGGTCTGATAAACCTACCACCATAGAATCAAATAACTGACACTATGGTCTGATAAACCTACCACCATAGAATCAAATAACTGACACTATGGTCTGATAAACCTACCACCATAGAATCAAATAACTGACACTATGGTCTGATTAACATACCACCATAGAATCAAATAACTGACACTATGGTCTGATAAACATACCACCATAGAATCAAATAACTGACAATATGGTCTGATAAACATACCACCATAGAATCAAATAACTGACACTATGGTCTGATAAACATACCACCATAGAATCAAATAACGACACTCTGGTCTGATAAACCTACCACCATAGAATCAAATAAAGACCGGTAGGTATGGCAGTAGCAACTATAATCCAGTTCCACGTTCTAATATAATATGACTCGAGAATGTAAAGAAGAACTCCTATTGGTGTAAATGTTGCTATGATAATGCCAACAAATGTCCTCTTTGAAGGGCCAGTCCACTCCATACCTACAATATGATTATCCTAACAGATCATTTTAATAAACTATTACAATGTAAGTGCCAGTCTTTGTAAGAATCAGGCAATTTAGAAAAATTTCAACACATGGCCGAAAAAAACCCACCATCCTAACCATCCTATTTTGAAGTTACCCTCATACTGAGTTAGAAATGGTAGGTCTTTTGTTTCTGCGTGTCTGGTAATTCGAGAAATCTCTAGATAAGTTTTAGTTAGAATGCTAACAAATTACGGAGTTAGCTCCCCTTAATTGTTAATTTCTAGTGCATTTCAACCAAATTATATCGTGCATTACCAGAACAGGAAAAGTAAACAAATGATATATTCGTGCACCATTATATATACAATTGGAACATAAATTAATGTCAACTTGAGTGGGTTTTTGTTTGTCATGTTTTCACCACTGCTTGATTTTATGGCAGATTGGCACTTAAGTTACAATCATGTAAGCCTTGAACCAGATATAAAGAATATGTTTTATTATTTATCCTCTCTTGCGATTTAGATTTACGCAAGTATTTAGAAATTTAACTTTGTTCTTTTTTTGGTGTTTTCTTTTTGTCCATTGTGTTGTCTATTCGATATATTTTTTGTGTTGCTATTTACATGTTCTATGTAGTATTGTGTGTGGATTTTATTTGGTAATGGGCCGATGAACTCAAAAACAAAGAAAGGGCGCTACCATTTGATTTTTAGGGGGGGGGGGGGGAGTTGGTCTAGGATGAAATTTGAAAAAAAGGCAGGACAGGAGTTTTGAGTAAAAAAAGGCAAGATGAGCAACTTTGCAAAATAAAAAGGCAGGATGGCAATTTATGTAAACAAAAGTCAGGATTAACCTATAAAAAAGGCAGGACCGAATAGAGTGAAAAATAAAAAGGCAGGACAGAGATCACAACTAAAAAAAAATTGCAGGACAAAATTTTGCATCCTAGCCGCCTCCCCCCCCCCCCCCCCCCCCCCCCCCCCCCCCCCCCCCATAAAAATCAAAAGGTAGCTCCCTAAGTCCGAAGTATAAAAGTACGTCTCTTAGTCCATCGGTTTAGTTTTTACACATCACAACCTCGAAAAGATTGTATAATTCTTATAAATTTCAGCACAAACTTTTTTTGTAATTTTTTTTCTTAAAATTTCAAATGTCATTTTGCTTGCTTGTCTTTATGAGGGTCTAGATGGAGATAGTGTTTCGGGTGGGGGTTTCCTCAATTTTGTATTCTTTAATTTTTTAAGTATAATTTTTCTCTATTCTGTTTTTATTTTCTGGCCCGTTATTCTGTAGTTTTGTAAAAATAAGAAGATGTGGTATGATTGCCAATGAGACAACTCTCCACAATAGACCAAATGACACAGAAATTAACAACTATAGGTCACCGTACGGCCTTCAACAATGAGTAAAACCCATACCGCATAGTCAGCTGTAAAAGACCCCGAAATGACAAATGTAAAACAATTTAAACGAGAAAACGAACGGCCTTATTTATGTACAAAACAATGAACGAAAACACAAATATGATATACAGCAACAAACGACAACCACTGAATTACAGGCTCCTGACTTGGGACAGGCACATACAGAATGTGGCGGGGTCAAACTAGTTTGAAGGCGCGCCAACCCTCCCCTAACCTGGGACAGTGGTGTAACAGTACAACATAAGAACAAACTATAAAAATCATTTGAAAAGGGCTTCACTCGTCAGATCGATACGAAGCAGAAATACATCTAACAAAAACACAGAGTGGACGTGACAGGGTACTTATACATCCCCACAACAAGAAGACACTAAATACAGATCTGAGAGTACTCGCAGTTACTGACAGCTAGATCAAAGCCAATAACAACTAATAAAAAAAATCATGCATCTAAGACTAAAAATTCTGCAGTATTGGTTCATTATTCTCCATCCAGTCCATCATATATATGTAATTTTGATTTATTGGTTTTGTTTCAGGATTTCAAATTTTCATGGTTTTGTGGTGTTGATCATCACATTAGATGATAATTTTCTACGACGATTTACAATGTTAGTAAATTCAATCACGTACCTAAAACAAAAGTTGTAATATATGTTCCAACGACGCCAACGCCAGTAAAGAATCTAAGAATTATAAACATTGTGTAATTTACAGACCATGCTAAAGACATGCAGGAGCCAAACAGGGTCAAAACAGCAAGCAACAACGTCTTCCGTCTACCAATACTAAAATTATTACATATCTATAAATATTTGACAGTAGAAAGACAGTAGAAAACAATTATAGGCATTTGTTAAAGGGACCAACATAAAAAAGTTTGCTTGCTACGTTGCATGTGTTCTACAAGTAACACATTGATGATCAGTATTTATACAATGAGATTAAAGTCGTCAACGTAAAGTAGTTTTCCATTTTTTATGTATCTGCTTTACATATTTTAAGTAAGATTAAATACTCTATATGGAGGTGCTCCTACAAAATTTGAAGCTAATACATAGAAAACGAAATCTCCTGTTTTAACAAATGCTGTTTTTGGTTAATACTCCCATCAAAATAGGACCACGATCCCGCTACGACCTCAGAAATTATGAAAAATTTTAAAAGTCGTAGTAAGATCGTGGTGGTCGTGGTAAGGTCGTAGTAAGGACGTGCTAAGGTCTTCATGATCGTGGAGGTCCTCGACCAACGTTGAACACCCTCAAACATTCGTAGTGCAGTCGTGGCCAAAACTAGTCGTTGTAGAAGCGTAGGAAGAGATCGTTATAATGACGTAGTAAGATCGGGAGGGGCGTAGAAGCATCGTATTGAAAACGTGGTGCAATCGGGAAGCCAATGGAAAAGATTTCGCTGCGACCTTACTACGAGTTCACTGCGACTATCCTGATTTCACTACGTCTATATAACGCTTCAATTACGATATTGATACGATTTTACTACGACGAGGAAGACAATAATACGCTGCTAATACGCGCTTGTCGTTCTTAGTACGACCTTACTACGATACTACTACGTCCTAGATACGATAATTGCATGACCTCATTCTGTTCTACCTGTAGTTCAACCATGGACACACATGAGCAAAACCTACTTCTCGATCTTTAATTCAGTTGCACTGTATCGATTTGGCTGATCAGGCTACACTTTTAGTTATAAGAAGAAGGAGAAGACATACTAGAGAGCGTAGGTCCTGTTGGGCGCGCCTTTGGCTTTCTGCTGAACTCCAGTTTGGGCATTACGACCGACTTATGAAAGAATTAAGGATAGAGGATCAACAGTCATATTTATAGGGACGAAGAGCGCAGTGACAACGTAGTGGAGTCGTGGTTTGATCGTAGTAGACTCTTATTGAGATCGTGTAAGTCGTGGAAAGGTCTTAATGTGTAACTATCGTAGCGGAATCGTAGCAGGATCTTATCAGGATCATAACTAGGTCGTGGTATGAACGTGAAAACTATAAAATATTGAATATTCAAGCCGACCATACCACGATCTCACCGCGATCTTTTTTTATTGATCGTAGTGCAATCTTCATGGTCTTGGTCTAGTGTGACGGGGCCTTACATCATAAAGTTTTCGTTAACACTGACTCTGATCAATAAAATCATATCAAACCGCACAAACTATCGTCAAAGTCACTCAAATTTTGAAAGCCAAAAACGTTAAAAAACATTATAGCATTAAAACAGTATATTACATTCGACGTAGGTTAACTTCACATGGCGGACTTTATGACACAATATTAAAGAAGGTCTGGATTGGAGTCCTTCAATTGTGAATTTTTAATTTTTAAACACATTTTTCTCTATTCTTTATACATTTTGTCCATTATTTTCTATTCTTTATAATTTAGCACCGTATTATTCTCTAATCTTTTTTTTAATACCTATTTTCATCGGATTTCCTAAGGAAATATCATTTGTCAATTTGACGATGTACGGCGGGCGGCCGGGCGACTGCCAAACAGTGTCCGTGCAATAACTTGAAAACGCTTTGACGAAATCTTTTTAAAATTTAGATATGTTATTTCCTGTGACTAAGGTCAAGTTCGATTTTCATGATTTTAGCTTTTATCATTGTTGTCTTGTAGACCTTTCAGTAGCGAAAAGTAATTAGATTGATTTTGGCCTTTCCATTTCTGAACCGAACACAAAATCATTTATTGATCCTTTTTAGGAGTCTAGATTTGCAAATATTATTTTCATGCAGGAAAATCCGGTTTACTGTTAATCTTACAGCCTCTTGTTTTCTATTCTTTATTTTAAACCATTTGTTCTGCACTTTTTGTCCAATATTCTCTATTCTGGAAACCCAATCCAGGCCCTATTAAAACCAAATATCTTTAAATCTAAATATATAATTCAATAAGTTTATATGCTTACAAATCCGACAATAATCCAAACGTGAATGACCCAAGAAGAGTCCCTGCAAACAAGACTGTCTTTGAAACTGACACTTTATATTTGTTGTCGCATACCAAGTTTTCCTGTAAAACCCATAGAAAGTCAACCGATCAGTACAAATATATGTAACCATTGTGCACAATAAACATTCGACAATTAAAAATACTTCTGTTTTAAGCCATAGAATATGAAGCTACATTCCCATTTTCAAAGCAGCAGTCATTTCTAATATAAGACTTGTCTAGAGCAAGGTACATATGTCTGAGTAACGAGTGTTTAAAAAATAGTTGGCATATTATCCGCAGATTTCGAGATTACTGACTTCGATTTAAAGAGCTTTTTGGTTTTTTTTTTACCACTGAGCACCTGACAGTTAGTGCTTTTTTTAGACAAGCTTTGTGTACATCTAGGTGAATTAGACGAAAACGAATTGTGATTTATTGGGTTCAGCAATATCACAAGATAAGCCGTTAGGATCTGAATCTTTTTAGAATGATAACGTAGAGAGATATCAATCAGCAATAAGGATCTTACTTTTACTACAAACGTGTAATCGAAGACATCGTTACTGTAGACCCACGACGAACATTTTATTAAACTGGCATTGATTGGTTGGCTGCTATTGTCATCAAACGCAGTATTTGATTGGTCAACCTGGTAAACATGGCACTGGTCGTACTTTTTATCGTCCTCGTTAGATAAAGGAATGTACATACGAATCGTTCTTTGATGAAAGGTTCCTTGTACATCATACGTATCATTTTCAAATCCTGGAATAATGCATCTGCAGAAGAAAAACAATTACGTTTCTATTTTGTGATTCAATTATCATACCAAGTCCTATAATACTCAATATAAGCCTACGTAGGTCCATATCGTTGCTTTCAACGTTTTTTTATCAGATATATTTGTTTACTAGCAATGCTGATCGAACAAAAAAAAAAAAAAACGTTGAAAGCTAACGATATGGAACTACGAAGGCTTATATTATAGGACTATATCAGACTATAGGGCAATAGATGTTCGGTGGAATATGTCGAAAATAACTCGGTTCACGGTTGATATTTCAATATTCTACATTATTTATATCTCCCAGTTGATACGATATTCCAGGGCTTGTATTTCCTATCATGACTACATTGATAGAGGCTTGCTGCTCACAAGCTAGGAAATTTAAACCATGAGTTCCAAGTGGTGAAGTTGAAATCGTCCCTTCATAAATTTTACGGACGCCATCACGAGTTGGTTGACCGTTATGGAATATCCGTTTCACAGATGATAGCGGATATGTTCCAAAAGTCGTAACTACAATCCTTTAGTGCAAATTTTGTTAATACTGACTTCTTATATTAATATTCTTGTAATGGTTAGACAATACAAAAAATAACACCATTACAACCTTAATCCCAATTTTATATTCTATTTTTAGAAATGTACCTGTGACGTCACTTTTTGTGGCGTTGATACATTCGTGTGACGCACAGTTCATAATTCTATTGTGGTGTAAATGAGAGGTGTCCGTTGTTATTCTGTAGTTTACATGTTGTAATGTACTATCATATTATTTATTTATGTATGTCTCTGTACTGGGTGTTCTTGCGTTTACTTGTAATGTTTACCTGTCACGTAATGTTGTCATTTTAACGGTATTTTCAACATTGCCATATAAGCGGGAGGTTTGGCTAGCCATAAAACCAGGTTCAACCCACCATTTTTTTCTTAAAATGTCCTGTACCCAAGTCAGGAATATGGCATTGTTATCAAATAGTCCGTTCCTAAGTATGTTGGCTTTTGTTTTTGTAGCAGTTCAGTGTTTATGTTGTTCCGTTGTTTTCCTCTTATAGTTGATGTGTTTCCCTCGGTTGTGGTTTGTGACCCGGATTTGTTTCAGTTAAATCGATTTATGACTATTGAACAGCGGTATACTACTGTTGTATTTATTTCTCAGCCAGATTTTGAACTTGACTAACTGCTTAAATTTGGTACCGTTATGAGATGATTAAAGCTGTAAACGTTTCTCCTTGACATCATCCATGTATGTTTCAGTCATTAACTGTATCGGCTGGATGTATGTATGCCTATGGGCTCCCCTTTACCCCTTTACCCCTTTAATTAAGACTTATTCTTGTTTTGTTATAAATCACAGTTGAATGACTAAACTCAGTAAAGATCCGTCTTAATTCCATTTAAATGATAAATTCAACAACACTTCTTGTTACCTTGATGATATTTTGCGTCAAATAATCAAATATTCCCTTATAATAATGCAGAAATGTACCTTACTTACCTTTAATATATATAATGTAAACAGTAATAACTGTCCTCTTCTAAATTGAGTATTTCAGTTTCAAAAAGGAAAGTCTATACAAAAATTTACGACAAAATAATGGATTTTTTGTTATCTTTTCTTAATATTCTTTTTTAACGGTCATGTTACGGTTTTTATATTTTCTAGCTCGTTTGTTATGCCGGTGTCTGTTGTGACGATTTAGATTTCAATGGACGTCATCTATTTATCACTGGTAAATTATGTAGTCAGAGATTACTACACACTACTTAAAATCTTTACTAGTTTCTTTTATCGATACACAGATTTGGTTGGGAAGTTTGGCTGAACATCAATATCATTTATACATTAACACATAACTAATTATGTATTGTTATACAGTTATGAACACTTCAGTTATATATCCTGTAGATAATTATATTTTGGTATTACACAATGTCATGTTTTTCTTAGTCTAGTTATCTCGTCTTTACACTAAATCCTTTGGATGTGTATTGATTGATATTTTAGTCATTTATGATTTGTTACTGGTTTTGAACTAGCTCACAGTTGCTAAACTCTTAGATCGGTACATGTACTTTGTGTCCTGTGTCTTTTTTACAGTTTGTTCGTATGTCGTGTTGTTAGATTGCCGTCAAATGATATGGAAACGGTTGGGCGCTCGCAAAAATGTTAAATCCAAACATATGTGGGTACATGTCCCAAATCTTGAGCCTGTAATACAACTGATATTGGTGCTTATTTTCTGTCATAAAATTAGTTTTTCGCTTATTGTTTTTACATAAATCAGGCAGTTGGGTTTCTCGTTGAAATGTTAATATTTTGTCATGTCGGACGCCTTTTATATCTACTAAACGGTATTGGTTTTCCAACCGAGATAAAGATTACAAAAAAAAAAAATGTAGCACATGAATGCTATACAGCAAATCAGGTCAATGCTGATAAGTTAATGAACGTTCACAACTTCTCCTTAACCATCAACACACAAGTACCAATATTATTTAAACTTATGTGCTCTAAATATTATTGTTTAGATTATCTGCACCAGTAAAAATTGAAAACAACACGTCATAAATTAAATGCGTAGAAGCGCTTTTCTGGATTTACCTTCATCAGGAACTCTCAAAGCAGTGTATCATACCTGTGGTCCGGGATTCCCAGAATAAACACAGAGAAAGCCATAATAGGCGGTGTTAAAATCCAGGCTACAGTCAACAACACAAAATTCCTTTTCTGGTATGTTCCAAAATCTCCAATTTCAGACAAAATATCATCAAACTTCATTTCAAATATGTATTTTTACTCAACATAACAATGAATATTCCTCCCAAACATTACCTAGATAGATAATCATACAACTGGGTGTTTGTGAAATGTTGTTGATAACCTTATTTTACTAGTATTTAACTACCTTATATGATAATACTTTTAGTTATGCCTTTAAATGATCAATAAAGAAATAAATTACATAATTGAAATTTTAAAACTTAATTTAGTATCGGCAACTGAATATCGTTTGGGTTATGGTGGATTGGAGGAAGAAAATTGAAAGAAGAATTGTTTTCATCATCATGAAAAATAATTGAGGCAAACAAAACAGGTTTTTACCATGATTATTTGAGTATAATATACAAATGTATCAAGCTTGTCAAGTGATTGTTCCGAATTTAATTTTGCATTGTAAATCAAACAGGAGTAAGATCAACGTCTGGTTTTGAAAAAAAACCACCCCGGATGTACAGCTAATTGGAAGTAAAGGGAAAATATTTTGATAGAATTCTTACCTTTTATTGTTATGTTGGGTATACAACTAAAACACTGATTTTATAAACTCTGAAAATAGCTACAAGCATGATACACCCACGTCTTCAGTTAAATTAGCTCTTTCATTCAAATGTCCGGTAATTTTAGATATTAACCTCGTAAATTATTTCCGATTTTGGTTAATTTAATTAAGGAGTGCGTTTTTGGTATTTCTTGTTTCTTGCGCTGCAGTAGACTATATAAACAACAGCTTTTTCAAAATGTTTTACTTAATTATCTTTTATATGTTATCAGGAGTCAGGATTTTACAATACCACTACACTCAACAGGTCACTATTATTTTTTGGGTAACCATTGAATAATATGTACAAGACTATCCATTTTTTTATATCGTTCAATTCATATAAATTAAACATGAATATACTGGGGAAAAGCAACTCACATTTTCACTCACTACTAACACAGTCAATGCAATCCTACATATCTATACAAACATAAAAACGGCTAGCTACATGTAGCTCACATTAATTATATTAATCAAAAATATAAACAAGAATAAATCATATGGCCAAAAGTGCCTTGTTAGCTATTCTCATCACTTGGCTTCCGTCGTCCATTTACTTTTACAAACAAATCTTCTTCTCTAAATTACTGGATCAATTGGAGCACAATCATTCTTGGGGTATGTAGTTTCAAAATGTCTTGCCTGCAACCGGCATGGCCATCAAGGTTAAAAATAGAACATAGGGATAAAAAGAATTAGTATTGTGTCATATTTTAAAACCGTTATAGATAGAGAACCTGACATGGAAAAAAATGTACAGAATGTAGATATTTTCTCTTAGTCTGACAGAATGTAGATATCTTCTCTAAGTCTGACCATTAAGATAAAAAACAATTTTGAAAAAAAGAAAAGAAAAAAAGCTCAAATAGGGTCAAGACTAAAATGGATAACAGATACAGATTTGTTTCTTGAACCTAGAAAACAACTGACCAAATTGAAATTTAACACAAGAACTGAAATATTATGAAAAGCTATATAAATTATTAAAGCACAAAACAGACAAAAAACAAATTTAAATACAAAGATAGAAATAAAAACCCTATCGGGAAAAGATAGCTACAATTTATAAGGTCAAGCAATATCTGAAGATCAAAAACTGTGTATATTGATAAATACGGATGTACTTTAAAAAATGGGTGAATATCAAACCTCCTCGAGACCTGTCGCGGAATTCGACAAGGATAAACGTTGTCTGCTGTGATTTTTGTTCTAGTTGTGAAAATAAACATATGCAGAACTAGATCTAAGATAAACATTAAAGGGTTCCGTACGCTAAAGTAACATTATTGTCAAATGCATATCTTAAGTGTATTAAAAGACATTCCCAACCACAAAGTTATGTAATTTACCTATTGTTGGTGATTTATCATGTCTATACACTATATTGAAAATAAACTGTGCTGGAAAAGGTAAAATATTTACAACATATACATTGTATTTTTGTCTATGTAAACATCAATTTATTATATATTACAATCTATATTTAAGTTAAAAGTTACAGACATTTTAAATCAACCGGTCTCAGTTTTGGCCTTTTTCACCTTTATTTAACCAAGCGTCACTGATGAGTCTTATTGTACACGAAACGCGCGTCTGGCGTACAAAATGTCTATCCTGGTATCTATAACGAGTTATTCATGTATATGTCTTCTTGCAGTCAAAAGTCATTACCCTTGGCGTCCCACTCTGCCACCTTTTTTTAAGGTAAAATATTATATATCTTTGTAAAACGTCAATTCATTATACCGTTTACTTATACTTATAAATTTGAATATCCCATTGGTATCTTTCGTCTCTCTTTTACATTAATAACATGTCCTATATTGCAATATATTTGTAACTTAAACACGTTTTAAATCAACTGGTCTCACTTCATATACATTTCTCTTGCAGTTAACAATCAATCCTCTTTTGAGTCTCGTTATGTCCCCTTTTCATTGCATTTGGTATTATGAATTTCACATTCCTATCGATGTACCCGGTGTCGCTCCTTTTGAAGTTCATACGATTCCCCCCGGTTTTGTTTGTTATTTTAAGTTGTTTTTTCTTCATTGATTCACGATCAGTAAACTACTTTCACCTTAATTCATCGCCCCGATATTTGTGTTTCCGCTCCTCAGGTGTAACCGAGCATCTGTTTAGTTTTAATTTTCATTTATATTTTGCAGTAGTATTTCTGGAACTCTCATTTCGAGAATGAATAATTTTATTCCAACGTTTTATTAGCCCGCTTCGGCAAGCAAGGGTTTCTGATTAGATGACATATATCAATAATATGTTGAAATAAATTGTTACATTTTAGGATTTAGTGCAAGTCTGGCTTAACGTCTACATGGTTTTGTTTTATGTTGTTTGTTTTCATGTGTGTTTACTGCTTGGTCTTACATGATCTTGCCTTATATTACAGTTATTTTATTTTTATTTTCTATATGTATGTAAATGTTAAGATAAAAAACTAGCTACTTCATTCATATGATTTTAAGTTTAAAGCAACTATATGCAAAGGATTTTTTTTGTTTATACACAGTTTTGATTTAGAAGAAAAGCCGACATGGTTAGAAAAAAATAAATAACACCATTACAAACTCAATCCCAATTTAATATTCTTGTACGTGTCTATAAATAAAACAAATCTATTTTATTTTTAGAAATTTACCTGTGATAATATAAAAGTCACAAAAAATACGTCACTTTTCGCTGATCCATTCATGTGACGCGCACTTTATATTTCGTTTGTGGTGTCCTGGTGTGCTGCCGTAAATTCATGGGAGGTGTCCGTTGTTATTCTGCGGTTTACATGTTGTAATGTAATATTGTATTATTCATTAATGTATCTCTCTGTCCTGAGTGTTCTTGCGTTTATTTGTACTGTATTCCTGTCACGTAGTGTTGTCATTTTAGCGATAGTTTTAACATTGCCATATGAGAGGGAGGTTTGGCTAGCCATAAAACCAGGTTCAACCCACCATCAATCCACCATTTTTTCTTGAAATGACCTGTACAAAGTCAGGAATATGGCAGTTGTTATCTACAGTCCATTTCTATGTATGTTGGCGTTTGCTTTTGTTGTAGTTCAGCGTTTCTGTTGTTCCGTTGTTTTCCTCTTATATTTGATGTGTTTCCTCGGTTTTAGTTTGTTACCAGGATTTGTTTTTGCTTAATCGAATTATGACTATTGAACAGCGGTATACTACGGTTGCCTTTATTTAGAATCAGGCAATATTGTATTTTATTGAAACACAGAAAATAACAAATCACTTGTAAAAATTAGAAGTCTTAGATGACATAAAGATTAAAAAATGAAACATAAGTAATAATATATCATTTTAGTTAATTTGCTGGTACCTTTAAAATAAGAGTGGTTTCTTATATTTCTATGTAAATTGAGGACTTTTGAAAATGAATTTATCGTTATTTCGAGTTCTGTATGATTATAACAATATATTAAGTAATATACATGAAAACTTGGAATTATATCGCTTAATCATGTTAATCTTATTTCAGTGTTTTTTTTGGCATTCTGATAAATATTGGGAAGCAAGTTTAAAAGAGTTATCTCCCATTTAGGAACTATTGTGTTACTAACTCAAACAAATAGGGGGCGCCAACTAGGCAGATTAAAATGACCACTGGCAGAACCTGCATTTGTTTCTAAGTTTTGTTATACTAAGTGTGGGTATTTAGCATACTTTAAAGAGGAACAAAATGATTCCTCCATTGAACATTGTAATGAAAACATTGAAAACCATTTGGCTTCAGTTTGACGACGAACATAATATTTCCACGAAAATGTCAAGGAATCTTCGTTTCAAAACTTCATTGTGCACCTACTTAATTTTGTTGATAGAATGATTTTTGTTAAATGGAACACTCACCATTTATGATGAATGATAATAGGTTATTTATTTTATATTATCTGCCAACAGTATCGGGGGCTGCTCATACTGTATATATTTCATACAGACTCATCATATATTCAACTTGATAAAGTGTGTTTCTTTTCTTATGCAGGGAATCGCCGTAAATGTAGATCAGTTGTCTACGAACATATTTCCAACAGAAAAGATATTCGTTGTGATCCTGCAGAGCCTGAGATTTGTAAAACCATACGAAAACTAGAAGATGTGGTATGATTGCCAATGAGTCAACTGACCATCAGATACCAAACAATGTTGAAGTTAGCAACTATAGGTCACCATTCATCCTTCAATAATGAGGAAACACATAACTCATAGCAAGCTGTGAAAGGCCCAGATATGACAAAATGTTCGTTATGAATAAGGGAGTTATATATTTTCGAAACACCTCGTCTGTCCGTCTGTTCATAAGTCTTGTAAGCACAACTGCTCGGAGCGTGGATTTGGCCAGGCATATACATATAGATTCACACCAGTTGGTATACTGTTCATTGCGTTCATGCTTATGTACAACTGTGAGTATTGACTGGTGAAATCAT